CAGGGTGTCTCGCAAGGGTTGCACTTCTCTGATTTTACTTCCATCCACTGTGACCTTGATCCAGCCTGTGCAGGTGCCAGGCCGGGTGGTGTCTGCACGGTGCCCACTTGGCCTTTACTTCCCGTGAAGAGCTGGGTTTGCCATTGGCCATTTTCTGTACTTAGATGTGTCTGCCTTGTCCAAGAGTGTCCAAGCTTCTGGAATGTTTGTTTGCCTCAGCAAACAGCCTATGAGAATCAAATTGTTTTATAGAGGCTTCTTCATTAGGAGACCAAAAACTCGCTAAGTATCGCCGGTTTTATTCTCCTGACATTCCCAGGAAATATGGAGGGACAGAGTTGATCGTCTCCAGCGAGTGGGAGGACTGGTGCTCTGAGGAGAGGCCATCCCCCAACTGGGGCTGCCCAGAGAACCACTGCTCTGACACGTGGCTGGTGGGGCCACTTGTGAGTGTAACACATGCCTGTTACAGAGACAGAGCTGCAGTCCTGTGTCCCTGCATTGCGGGAGACTGTGCCCGCCTGACCTGGTCTCTGCTCACCTAGACCGTCTATTCAGGGCTTGGCAGGCATCTTGTGAAGGGCCAGACAGTAGGTGTTTTTGGCGTTGTGGCCCACATGGGCGCCACTGCAGCTCCTCAGCTCTGCTGCTGTGCAGGACGAGGCTGCATCTCCAAGAGGCTCAGCTGACTGAACAGGGGGCAGGACGGAGCTCCCCAGCACCTGACGGAACATCCACGCCGCTCCACCATCCTCGCTGACTGAGCAGGGAACAGGGCACGCGGTGGGCAGGCTGTCTGGGGGTCGCGCTGGGCGCTGCACGTGCAGGTGCACTGTCCATACACACCCTGTTCTGGATAGGCTACTGGAGACAGCGCAGGAGGCTGTTAGCCTCCGTCTGCAGACGCACACCCACAGGACTTAAATGACCCACATCAAACCACCTGCCCCAGGGTTCGACGCCTGCAGGCAGTTCTGACGCCCTCACGTCTTCACACGGGTCAGATTTCTGTTGTTAATGAGACCTTAGCAAGGACCCTTCACCTGGGGTGGGTCGGTAGGTGGTGAAGTTTGGTTCCGAGCGCGGCAGGGACCCCGGTACCATGGAGGCGGCGGCAGGCAGAAGTGCGAGCCAGGCCGCAGGCCCTGGGAACCGATGGTGTCGGAGGAGTGGGGGTGGCTCCGAAGCAGAGGCAGCCATGCTTAAACCCCGCTTCCCCTGTCAGTGTGGGCTGAGGGTAGCCCCACCGCCTTCCAGCAGAATCCCAGGAACATCAGTGAGTCTCCTGCCGAGAGAGTGGAGCTGCTAACTTGAGAAGAGTGCCTTTGACAAAGTCGGGGAAAACTTAAAAAAACGGAAAAAAAGAAAAAGGTACATTTACTCTTTAATCCTTCTTAATCTTGGTGAAACACGAGACTCAGCCAAAGGCAGCTTCTACCCTCACAGTCACATCACACGACAGGACTTGGCGGTGTCCTCGCCCCCCTGCATGGGGACACACCGTGCACCTGTCTGCAGTAGCATGTTTCCATGACCTTCTTAGTGAGAGATGTTCTACTCCTCACAGCGCAGGGCCTGGTGCAGGACCTGGTGTATCATACATTCTTAGAGAAACAGGTGTCCAAATATGAGGCAGAAAAAAAACCCATCAGAACAAAAGAATGAAAGAAAAACCAGGACCTAAATGTAGCTTTTAATGAGAAAAAGGGAAGAAGGAACTTGAAATAGAACACCAACGGTAAACCTGAAATCCTGGAGCTTCCCAGTGGAGTGTGAGATAGTGACAGCTCCGCTGCAGATGAAGTTTATAAACTAGAAGACAGGCCGCATTCTGGTTAAATACATGATTAACACATGCCTTTTCAGGTAATTCTAAACTTGAGAGTGTCTTCGTTAGAAGAAAAGCATGTGTGTAGCAACTTTCACAGCAATGTTACAGTAAGTGCTTTGGCTTGAAAACTGTCTATGATTAAAGAAATGGTAAATCACACCTGAGATCCCCCAAGTTAGTCAGAATGTTGGCTAAGCTGCTAATGATGTTGCGGAAAAATGTGTTACAGCTCAGTTGTGACAGTAACCTGGATCCGGGCAGCAGTCAGACAGTTGAAGAACTCAGGTTTATTACACCAGTAGCCCCAGATAGGTTAGCACTTCAAGCTCTGCACGCCGTCCGTAGGTTTACACAGGCCTTTTATAGGCTGCGAGTTTTACACTTTGCAACATCATATGCAAATAAAGTATAACAGAAGTTGACCAACCAGGAACAAGCTTTGTACAAATAGACCAATCAGGAGTGAGCTCCATGCAAATGAAGTACTACAAATGGACCAATCAGAAGTTAGGGAAGTGGACCAATCAGAAGTGAGAGTAGTAACCAATCAGGAGTGAGAGTAATAACCAATCAGAAGTAAAGGAAATAACCAATCAGAAGTGAACTCAGGGAACCAATAGAATTCTAGGTGTAAGTTAGCTACTTCAGAGGCAAAAAGTGAGATAGAGGCTCTGGGGGGAACCGGATGGTGCTGGGAGGAGAGCAGCGGCCCTGCCTAGGGGTCCTGCCGGTCTTTTTATGGGGCTTCCCGCCTCAATGAGAAGATCCCAAAATGCAGCTGCTCCATCAGGATAAAATACTGCTTTTTCACAGGACATGCAGGCTCTTCTCCACAAGGTCATCTGAGGACCCAGGTCCTTCCCTCCTTTGCTCAGAGTGTAATCCTTGTGGAAAAATCTGCCCCTATCATGCTGTTCAGGCCATGGGAGGGGAGTTACAAGAAATGGAATTTCCTTCTAAATGTCATTACAAAACACAGCCCAGAATTGTCACGAGGCCCTCTTGCTTGCCTGCGTTGACTGGGATTTTGACACATGGCCAAGGCCCTTGTGAGCAAGGCTGGGAGGTGAAGTTGTTAGCTGCTGAGCTTGGCCGCAGTTGAAACTTGGAAGCTTCTCCCCTGCAGGAGGAGCTGGTGGACTCCGGGGATGACGGGCTGTCTCTGCCGCCGTCTCAGCCCTTGCTTTGCTTGACTGCGCTGGGCGTTCCCCCAAGGGGCTGCTCACCATCTGGGGAACTCCCTGGGATGTTTCTCCCCCATGAGGCAGGCCCAATGTCTCCAGCTCCAAGCCTTCGCTCAGCCTGGCTCCTGTTTGAGCGATCACTGGGATTTCCAGCCCTCTGGGCCCAGTATACAATAGGATTTGGGGCTACATGGACCCTGGACCTCCCATCCTGGGAACAGTCCTTCCAGCACAAGGCCCTTGGCCAGGCCCTAAGCCAGCGATTGGCGTGGCGGCCCACATGGTCATCCATTCGGTAGGTGTTTCGAGCATGTGGTCTGCCCAGGCCAGGGTCGGAAACGCAACATCCAGCAAAAGCAGGCCAGTGTCGTGCGGGGGGCAGGGAGTCTACAGGGAGCTCCACAGGTAGCATGTGCTACCTGGGGAGCACCGAGTAAGGAGAACCAGTGAGTCCTCTGTCCATGCTCTTCAGCCCAGCCTTCTAGGGGTCGGGCAGTGAGGCCTGGTCCCAGGGAAAGCACCCGGGAGCCTGGTGGGCAGCCCAGTGCACGCAGTGCATTTGTGAAGCTGGCCTACACGTTGACTGGGAGGTGATGGAGATGGGGCTGAGGTGCTGGCAGGGGGTCCCAGCGCTCCACGAGTAGGAAGTTGCACTGGCAAGACTGTGCAACATCTAAGTCATGCGCCGTGAGGTTGACACTGTCTTAATTATTACTAGTGCCCTGCAGGGTCTTGTGTTAATTATCCCACAGCATCCCTTTGTGTTTCCGTTTTGTCTCCCTTTTACTTCTTTTTCTGAGCGTCGTGAGCCTGCAGAGTGGGGCTCAGCGCAACATTTGACTCAGCAGTCCCTGCAAGGGGCGCACGCACAGTGAGCGCTCAGAGGACGGGCAGGGCCCTGCAGGCCTCCTGGGCTGGGCTGGGGACTGGGGTCAGGGGTCCTCTGACTGCTGCTGTATCATCCCAGGGGGGTCTTTCCCCGTAAGAGTGTTCACCTGCCCTGGGCCCTCGTCATGGACTAGTTAGTTAATCTCATAAAGGGCTTGAAGATGAAAGGGTGGAGGTGCTGAGAGCCACTGGCTCTGGGCGTTTCCTGGCAGTGAGATCTGGGTTCTCATGGCAGCTGCCCTCTCGGTGTCGTCCTTTCCCCCAGAATTGCGTCTTGGGTCGTAGAGGTTACTGCCCTCTCGGTTTTGCTCTGTGAGCAGCTGATGGTGGGGGTCTGGGGAGGCATTCGTGATCTGGGTGTACCCCGCTCTCCCGGCCCTGCTCCCCTTTCCCTCCCCTCGTCTCCTCCTTGTCCACCGAAGGGAGCAGACAAGCGTGGCTGCCTCCCAGATGTGGCTGGAGCCAGTGAGGTTGGTTGCTTGCTCCCAGCCCTGCACTTGGACCTTGGGGTCGGGCTCTGACCTCGGGGTTGGGGCCTGGCCACCCACTCGGTCCACCCCTGCCTGTGCTCAGAAGGCGTCTGTCCCCTCTCCAGGCTGGAACTCGTGGGAACTAGGGATGGCCTTTTCCCGGACCTCTGGGGGTGGGTTTACAGCGGTTGCCACTTCCCCACTGCCGTGCCTCAGGCCCCGTCTCAGAAATAACCTGAGCACACGGAATTAATGGGCACATCTCAGGCCCCTGCCATGTCAAGGGGTGGTTGAACAAGCACCTAGCTCTCTCTCCTGGGACCTCGATGTAACAGTGGCCATGCGGTTGGGGGACTGATGGACCAGAGGGTCCTGGGAGATGGGAGAGCGTGGGCCGTGGGCTGTGGTGGGAGGGGTGAGGGCAGGCGGCAGGGGTGGAGGAAGCAAGCGTGTGGTCTAGGGGAGTTACCGTGGTGGGCCCCTCTGCAGTGCCCTCCTCCAGTAGGGCTGTGGCCCTGTGTTCCTGTGACGGGCCCCCTCCTGGGCTCTCAGACACGGGCCCGCGGTCCGGGCACCAGGCAGGCCAGGTGGGCAGCCGCTGAGTAACCAGTCGTGTTCTGCTTTCAGAGCCTTCCCCAGCCGCCCTCCAGCAAAGTCCCGCACAGTCACGAGGGGAAGGAGCCCGGGGACCTCAGGTTCAGCAAGGGGGACGTCATTGTCCTGCGGCACCGGGTGGATGAGCACTGGTACCATGGCTTCCTGCCCACCAGCTACGTCCCAGGCCTGCGGCCCCTGCCCCAGGCCCCACCCCAGGGCAAAGCGCTCTATGATTTCGAGATGAAAGACAGAGACCAGGACAAGGACTGTCTGACCTTCAGCAAGGTAAGGTGGGCTCCAAAGCAGCCGCCCCCCCCCCACCGCCCAGCCGGGAGCCTGGGCCTCGCGTCCCGGCAGATGTGACTCCCAGCCCTCCCTGAGCCTCCTCAGGGGAGAGCAGTGGTTTCTTCTTCCTGAGGGTCGGCTGGGTGGAAGGAGGGGGCACACAGCCAGCCAGACGCCTGCTGGTAACAGGGACAGGGCCCTCATTACCTGAGTCACAGTGTGTCCAGGGCTCATGGGCCCTGGAAGGGGGCTCTCTGGGGAAACCGCAGCAGCGACCCCCGTCAGGTCCTGGGGTGGGAGCTGGGCCCGGAAGCCAGCCTGTCATGGTCCCTCCTGGAGAGCACAGGGGTGGACACTTGTACTTGGGTCATTCAAAGTGGCCAGTGAGGCCACGGGACCTGGTTAGTGAGAAACCAGTAGCATTTACTGCGTGCTTGTCCTGGGGGTGCGTCAGGTGGAGGGGCCTGGTTTCTGGCCTCCCGGCCTCAGAGGCGTGAAGTGCAGAGGGGACAGAGGTGAACGTCCCTCCTCCCTGGCTTCCCCACCTCCTCCTGCTCCGCAGGCTTCTGCCTGGCAGCAGCCGTGAAGTTACCTTCATTAATTAGTTAATTGCCTCTAGGACCACCAGGGTCCCCAGGGAGAGGTGGGAGCCTGTCTGCCCACGGTCAAAGCTCTAAGAGGCTGTGTTGCCACCTGGGGCTCGCTGGGCCCCGCCCTCCCCCACCTCCCAGTCCTGTCTCCTCCCGCCTCTCCCGGGCTCCCATCTCACTGCCTCTCAGGCGGGTGGGCGCGCAGGTGTAAACAGAGCTGGACTGCAGCTCCATCTCCGACTTCAGAGCCCACGCAGCTCACCGTGCTTCTCCCCGTCTGCTCGGCGCAGAACCTGGCTGTGAGTCCCCAGCGCTCCGCTTTGAGCAAAACTGGCTGGTTCTGTGCAGGCCTCGTGCCGGCTGCCACTTGTGTCTTGTTCCCATTGTTCAGCCTGACGGTGAATGGTCTGCTTTCACTCAGGGATTCAGCTCTTTCCTCCTCCCTTCCATCAAGGTGTTCTGGTGATAATTCCCATTGTCATCTGGCCCTGCAGCTCCCTGGAGCAGCACCAGCCTCCCCCCTCCCTCCCCCCCCCTCACTCCCCCCCCCAGGAGGCCCTCATGCTCACTTCTCCGCCCAGCCCCCCGAGAGACCCCTGGGCCCTGGCACTCTGCTATCACTTGGGACCAAGAGCAGAAACTCCCACTGCCCCTTGGGGTCTGGTCAGGCCCTTGTAAGGAGACAGACCTGTCATGGGTCCAGGCACAGACGCAGGGCGCTCCTCACAGCCTTCATGGCAGGAGACCTCACCAAGCAGGCAGCTGGCCACAGAGCTGGGGCCTCCAGTGTCTCCTGGCAAAGCCTCCCTCCCTTCACCTCCATCACCTGCTCCACGTACGAGCCTCTGCTTGGGACTCTCATCACTGGGGTGAAGAACAGAGCCCACTGGACGAGAGGACAGAGGGGCATGTGTCCACTTGTCAACCAAACGTGCCGGCCTGACCCTGCCCTGGCGCCTGATGCCTGGCGGGAGAGATGGGGACACCAGTCCAGGGTCATGTGTCTGGAGGACAGTTCCCGAGCATGAAGGGCTTGCGGGTCTCCCAGGGGGCAGACAGGGGTCTCGTAAGCACTGCACAGTCACATGGTGTTTAATGTCTGGTATTTCCAAAGAAGTCTTAAAGCCGCCTTCGTGGGAAAAGCGGGAACTCGTCCTGTGGTGGCGCCACTTGAGCTTTGCATCCCGCGGGGTCTGGGTCCTGGCGCCCGGCTGTGATGGGGGCGACCCCGTGGGCTGGGGTGTGGCCAGGAGGGGCAGACTTGGCGGCTCCTCCATGGGCACCCAGTGCGGGTGAGGGTGCGGGGCGGGGCGCGGACCTCAGGCCACTCTTCCAGGGCTTTCTTTCCTTCAATCCGTGTATGAACGTGGGAAGTTGGAGACCCCCGGGTGAGACTTCGGTGGGGACAGTGCTGGGACTCCCCCACGTGTTCCCTGCCGTGCTCACCCAAGCTTTATACCAGCACCCCGTGGGCCCCCTGCTCAGATGAGGGCACAGCTCCCGCACCCAGGCACCTGCTCTTTCTCATCTCTCACCCCCAGGTGCCTCCAGACAGCCTCCAAGGGGCATGAGCGAGGCCTCCTGGCTCTCCTGGCGGGTTTGCTGCCCGCGGGGCCGCTGAGGTTTCCCTCCGCTTGCTGGAACGCTGCTCTGACAGCCTGTCACCTGAAGTGGCCACGTGGTTCAGGCAGCTCGGTTTTGCTTCCAGGGAATGTTTTGTTGTTCGGATATGTCCATTCTGGCCTCAGCAAGGAAAGAGGGGGCGTCTCAAGTCCGTGGAGGATGCCTTTACCTTTAAGGAGCCTTGCTGTGATGGAATCGATTCGGTTTAAGACGGCACGAGGCATGAGCACCAAGGCAAGGCTCGCCCTTAGTGGCAGCTTCCGAACAGTCCTATTAAACTGCATTGATTGAAGCCACTCGAAAACCAGTCTTCGTTTCGTTTAGGAGGGGAAAGAATAGTTGCTTCTTGTAAAGCAGCTATAAAAAGCGAGTTTCATAATTTCTTAGCAGCCTCACTTCAAAAAAGCTGAGCACGTGCGAACAAAAAGACAAAAGGAAGCAGCGCAGCGTCCCCTCTGTCAGCAGTTCTTTCGAGCTCTCTGTAGGCCTCTGGGGCACTGCCCTCCACGTGGCAGGGAGAGGCTCCGGCATCAGGGGCCCTGGGTGCAGGGCCTTCATGGTTAGGGGTCCCCGTGTGAGCTCAGCCCTGTGGCGTCAGGAGCCCATGTGTGACTCATCTCAGAGGTACCGGCACCCGAGCCGCAGTGGGACCCAGGCCCACCATCGCAGCCCCTGCTCATCCTCATCTCATGCCCCCCCTCCCCACTCAGCCCTGCAGGGCCCGAGGTGAGCTCCGAGTCAGCAGAGAGCACTGTTAAAACACCTCTGGTTGTCCTGACTTCAGCAGGCTCCCCTCCTGCTGGCCTCGCCACGAGACCCTGCCCTGTGGTGTCTTACGCAGCTGAATGTTTAATCATCCTTCCCAAATGTGGGATTCTTCTTTGTGAATTCACCCAGCGTTGATCCCAAACTGTGTTCTGATAGGGGGACAGATGTAGTGGAGACGGAGCACATGGATTCAGAGACTGGGCTCTAGGGTGAGATAAGGATTCCAATTGTGACACCTTTACTTTTGTACGGTGACTTTGGGACATGTATTTCACCTTTGAGTCCTTTTTTTTTTGACTGTAAAATGGGGGTGACAGTAGGACTCAATGGGCAAAGGCACTTAGGGAACCGACCTCAAAACAGGCACTCAGCCGGCTCTCGCTTCCGCCCTCGCTGGCTCCCTGTTCTGTCAGGTGCACCTCGCTTCTTGTGTTGGCCCAGGGTGCTCCCGGGAGGGTGGGCCTCCACAGACACTCGCTGCGTGGAGCCGAGACTGCGGGCGGTCCCCTGTCCCCCAATCACCCTGGGCCACACCTCGGAGGGGCTGCCGGGGGGTGTGGAGCCTCCTCAGCTCCTACGTCAAGGCTGCTGTGCCCATCGCTGGGCATCCAAGGCCCACCGTGTGCCCTCCGTCCTGAGGGGCAGTCAGGATGCTCTCAGGGTGGGAAGACTCAGATCTTGCACCAGGGACCAAACAGGTGAGCCTGGGGGAGTGGGCGGCTCCGACTCACCTCTCCTTCCCCAGTGCTGTGTTCTGCTCGGGCTTCGTGGCTCCCGGACTGCCTTACAGCTGGGCAGCAGCTGCAGGCTCCGAGGGCGCAGCTTCCCCGAGGGGACCAGCTTTCTGAAACACGGCAGCAAGTCAGAGGCCTGACGGGAATCCGGTGTTGCTTTCTTGGTTCTGGTCAGTGGCGGGAGAAGTCGTGACTGTTTCCAGGGCACGTGGGATCTTATGCCGTAGCTCTGAGGTGCCGCCTGGCACTCAGTGGTCCTCGCTGAGGTGGCATCAGAGCAGTGGGGAAGGAGGGAGGTCAGTCACCTGCCTGTGTGCGGGGACTGGTGGCCCCCTGCACAGCCCAGCCTCCCCCACATCCTCCAGCCCCGGCCGTGGACCCAGAACTGCTTTGCTGATATCTGAGCCGGATCAGGCACCTGCCACCAGGTGCCCCCAAATGCAGCTGGGACAGCCTGGATTTTCAGGTGAGGGGCAGGCGGCCTGTGCAGGCCCCACCTGCTGATGTCCTGGCCTCGCAGCAGAACTTAAACACGACTGCCCCATGCTAGGCTGTGCCAGACTCATGGGGTTGGATGAGGCCCCTGTGTTGTGAGTGGGCACCGAGCTCTCCCTGGGGAGGGACGTTTGCCTCCTCTGCCGGCCCCTGGGGGGTGTCAAGGGGATGCCCCCGAACTGGGTGAGGAGCAGGTTGGCTGCGTGTGGCCCTTGGGAGACCAGCTCCCCTGCTTAAGTGATGGGGCTCTTTAGGGGCAGCTCTCCCTTTTATGGAGCTGTGTCTGCTGCTCAAGACCTGGGGACCCAGAGTGGAGGACCCCAAACCTCCCTGCCTGCAGGTTCCACGCCCCACTTCTCCAGTTTTCTGTGCTCGATTTCAGACTCTTCACTTCATGTTGGCTTCCTCAGGATGTGATGTCCCTTTTAGAGGTGTGTCAGGACCACAGGCAGGACTCAGGGCACGCCATGGCTTGTCCACACTGGAAAGATTGTTACTTTTAAAAAGGAGCTTTTTATCTAAGTACAGCACAATATACCGACCAGTCCACTGGTCAGAATGATGCAGCTTGGTGGTTGGAAAGAAAATGTCCTCAAATCACTACCCAGCGGAGGAGTGGTGAGTGCTGGGACCCCCGGCCCTCCACCTTCCCTCTGGGTCTTCCGGCACCGTGGAGAGCGAGTCTGTTCTTGAACGTCAGGTGGACAGAATATGCAGGATGAGCTTCCATGTCCAGCTTTGTTTTCTCCGCACGTTGTGTGTGTGTGAGCTGCACCTATGTTGTGTGAGT